AGAGAAGTTTAGTTTATACAAATGTTCTTGATCTACATAATTATTATCATGTTCCATATTATTTAGTTAATATTCATCCTCATAATCTAATTATATATTTTTTTGATAAGATAATGTTTTAGATGGTATACGAATCTTATCCTGTAAATTACAATCTTTATCATTAGATGTTCTAGATTATGAACTAATCTCTTGTTATTTTTAATAATCTTAACTCTTCCTACTAATAGGTACACTTAATATGGAAATGGTTCTATTTTTATATCCATTATTTTGAGGAGTTGTTTAAGTATTAGCTTAACTAACATAATTAACACCTTAATCCATTTCCATACTAGCATTAATATGTGTATTAATTTCTCCTTTGGCAATGATATCATGATATTATTTAGATACAATTTATTTGGGTAATTGAATTTAAGAAAAAAATGGAGTCTAAAAGAATGGATGATTTAATGCTTCAGTTATAGTAATCCTATCTTTAGGATACTTCTTTGTCATTTAACATATAAGATTCTCCACTAATTAATATTAATAAAGTGCAGTTTACATGATTTTGGATATTTTGATGTTGGTATTTCAAAATATCCTTCAGTATTTTTTTTAATAGTTTATTTTAAATCGTTTTGTTTAAATGGATTATAACCATAAAGAACAACAAATATAGTTATTCCTAAACTAAAGATATCACATTATTGATTATATATCTTTTTAGATTCATCATATTTCAATACTTCAGGTGCTGAATAACTAAAATAAAATAATATTATAATATACCCTGGACTTCCACATTATGGAAATGGCACATTTTTCTACCAAGTAAATGCTGCCAATCCAAAATCTATTAAAATAGGATTCTATATGTTATTATTGTTTAATAGAATGTTTTATGGTTTAATATCTCTATGCATTACTTTTTATTAATGAATCTATTCTATTGCACTAAGAAGACGGATTATCATTATTCGTAAATCATCAAAAGAATATATCTTTTTAGAAGATTGTTGTGATACCAACTCTGGACCATCGATATAATCAGTCAATAAACATATTTTTTATTGATTCTCATAAACTCTATATAATTTTAATATATTAGAATGATTAAACATTCTAAGAGTTTAGATTTCATTTAATAATTATTCCTCATAACTCTTATTTTTATTTAATTATTTTATTGTTTGTTTTTTTATTATTTTTACAGCAAATATCTCACCATCCCGATTAAAACATTAATGAACCTTAAAATATTAATTTTAGTTTACTGTTGAAAAACTTCCTTAACCTATCTGCATTCCCAGTTTGTATACTTTATCAAAATCACTTAAGATACAGCAATTTGATAATGCATCTACCCAAATTTTGAATTACTACTTGTCCTCTGTATTCAAGTGAATTTAGTAACCATTATTTATTAATGCTATTTAAAATCCTGTTTCCAATTAATTAAATTAACAATATACAGTATCCAATTATACAAATCCTTTAATGTTATTTCCACTCCCAACATCAGAGTACAATAAAAATTATTTCACCAAAAAGTAGGTTCTGAGGCATTTCTATTTAAAAGTCCGTCCTACTTTGGTGAAATTCCCCATTAACACTTATACATTCTAAAAGTCTTCCTTATCAAATACGGGAATATCAGATTTATTCCAAAACTCTTAATTTTCCACTTGACCTTTGCTAAATATCATATTTATTATTAAAAAATTATCAAATTGAATAAATATAGCTTCAATTCAATGTCGAATGTTGATATATTTAAAAATATCTCATAATCAATCATTTAAACCGGTTTTAAATTATTCATCAGATTATTTGCAAATTTATTTTACTTTAATTTTTCCGACCTCTTTTTTATAACTACAATAATATCCGAGATAATGTTTTCATTGATAAAATTACATTATATCAATATATACTAATAGTGTATTTAATTAATATTCCAATTTGATTTCTAATTCTTTATATCTAATGTATATCTATAATTATAAGTTAATAACATCATATTTTACAGTTATTTTAGCATTTAAATATTATTGAAATAATTGAAGATTTGCATTGATAATCATAAAAATTTAATTTTTAAAACAAATATTTTATTGTAATTCATAAATCTTAATTTATATTCCTTTATTTACTTTTTATTTATTCTTCCATTTTTATTAACTTTTAGAATTAGAAAATTAATAATTAATTTGTTACATGATTAATAATATTTTTAGAATTATATATATATTTTATTATTAATCATCACATTTTTATGTAAATTTATCCACAACCTTAGGATGAAACAGATAGAAAATTGATAGAAATCCCATTCAATATTAAAGAACAAACTCAATAAAACAAACACTAATCAGAGAGTATTGAAACAACTTAAAAAGATTAATTATCTTCTTAATTTAAATCAAAAGGCTTGTTATCTTCAGATCAGAAATCCTGTTCTTAAAAGAAAGTTCGACTGGATTCTACAGGTTAACCAATATTGAAAAAATCTAAAGCTCATTAAATAACATTTAGCAATCAATTACAACAAATATATTATGTAGAAAGCTGGAAAGAATATAATTCAAATGATAATTAAGAAGAAGAGAAAGAAACCTGTTGTCCTTTTTGCAAAGTCTTTTGATATGATGAAGTACTCCAATTAATTTAAATAAACTGAGATTTAATTAGTTGTTTTATTTTTCATTCTTAAAACTATATTATATGAAAAACATTAATTAAATGGTGTTGTAATTTACCATTTGAGAAATGTCAACAAATTATTATAGAATACTTTATTCTTTTATATGTTATAATTAATAATAATAGTTTTATCAATTTCTTATATGATAATTAATTGTTAATATAATTTATAGATACTTGATTCTATCTCTCTTTGAATTTTCAATTTTTAAAGATTAAATATAAATTTTATAGATTTATTATAATCTAAGGATTGTTATCTTAATGATCATATATTTTCAAATAATAATTAATAATTTAATTTTTGTTATTTTTCCTTTATCTTATTTTAAATTATAATAATTTTTTTTGATAGCTATATCCTTAAAAATGGATAATATTCAAGAGAATTTAAAAATAAATTTAGAAAAATTTATATATCTTTAACATCATATATTTTCTGTTTCTGTTTTGAATCTTGTTCCTTATTCATTTTCGAATCTAACCTTCTACTTTTTATCCTTATTTATAGATGCTATCAAAAGAATAAGTTAAATATTACAATCTTTTTTAAAACTACTAATTAATTAGGTTCTATCTGATTTTTTGAAAGTGTTCATTAAATTATAAGAACTTTTAATTTCTTTTTCTGATGATGGTGATGAACTCTAAGCTATTCAAATTATTGCAAACAATACCATACAAGGAGAATCTTGATTTAATTTTGAATTCAATAACAAACTACTTTTTTTAAGTCTCTTTAATTTCTTATCTTTATTTTATGACATCATTAATTTTCTAAGTTTCCTTTCAAATATCTATATCTCATTTTAAACTTAATTCTAATAATCTTCTTCAAGTAATTTTTTTGCATTCTTAAATTCTAAATAATTCATTTATTAAAATACCTTAAACTAATTTAGTCATTTTATCCTATTTATTTTATTCCAAATAACTCAACTTATCTTGTAATCCAACTCGAAGTTATTCTTCTAATTTATTATTTTATTTCATGTTTTTCTCTCCTTTAGTCTCACTGACTGGATATAACAAATGTTTTAAAGCTTATTATTTTTCACTTTTAATCACATTATTAGTAGTCTCTTTCAAAATACTTGTGTTCTTCACAGCACTCCCTTAAGGTGTCACATTTTTAGATTACTTTTCTGTATCTTATTCTAACTTCTTACTACTGATATAATCCTTTTTGAATTGCTAAGTAGTTTGGTTGATATTTTGATTACTAGTCTCTTTATCAATAGTTTATAAATTGCCAACTTATTTCAATTATTCTTTGATCATAGTGTAAAAGGATCTATCATTAGACATATTTGCTGATGAGTCTGCTTTTGATCTAGTAAAACTACTCTTGCGATGTTATTGAGTTAAAACAGATTATAATTGAGATATTTAGTTTTTGAGAGATTGTAAATTTTAGATATTGCTCATTGTGGAATATATACAGGGTTAATATCGATTAATGTATTATTATGCATTTTTAGGAGATTTACTATACACTCTCATGCTATCTGTTGAATAGGCACTTCCATTATAATTATAAAAGTTTCTGGAGTGAGAACTCGAGGCTTAATTCATTTAACGGAACTTAATTGTTTTTTTATTAAAATATAAATATAATCATTAGAATCTAAATATGTTCATACATTATTTGATCTATATTCTTAATCAATCATAAATATAATTACATAACATTAAGAATATGTTTAAATAGTATCATCTAATTGTATTCATAAACTATTCAAAATGTAATACAAAGAATCTAATAATAAATAAATTCTTAAAGAAATATTAGATGCAATTATTTGGATTTGATAAATAATTAATAAATATTTGTATTAAAATATTCATTAAAATCTCTGTATATCTATAAATATATGATTAATCAAAAAATTAATCATTATTGTTTTAATAAACTATTTTATTTTTTAATATACTGAGGATATATTTTCATAAAATAGGATAATTAATCTAATTAAAAAATTACATAAATAATTATACATCATAATTTGATATTATCCAAGAATTAATATCCTTTTTTAACATAGAAGTTTATATATAATAATAATTCTTAAATCTTAAGATAATCAATAATATTATAGATGATTAAGAATTATTTGAATGATTAAAAGGAATTAGAAATTTTGAGGAATCTAAAATTTAACTTTATGTAGAATTATACAAAAAGATATTTATATTGAATTTAAATCAGAAATCAATATTGAAAATAAATTATTTCAATTATAATGTTTTTAGAAAGAAATTCTTAAGAGAAATCTTAGAATTAATTTGACTGATTTAAATTATATAAATCAAAACAAATAGTGGTATTTTTTATCTGAATCTGGTAATTTAGGTAGTTTTCTTAGTCTATTTCCATATTCCTTTTATTTTTAGTAATTTACATCCAGAATCTTCTTTGAGATAGTGGATTTAAGAGATTACAGCTTTTTCATTAAATTGAGACTCTCTAAAGAACTATTAAAACTAAAGTTTGGACTTTTTAGATCAACTTAAGAAATACCTCTTAATCTAGTTTAATTGATATATGGATTTTCTCTCACCTTAATTCTTTCAATTTTATCATCAAGTAACTTATTTAAAATAGTTTTAACAATACTTTCTTAAGACGATCTTAAGCATTTTATTATTGTTATTTATTAAATTTAGATGTTTATTGGAGCATCAAAAATCTGTAATTTGATGCAGATTTATTAGATTCAATATTTTTGTATATGTTCATCTTTTCTTTATTTATCTCTTCCATTCTTTTAAAATGATTGTAATACTCTTCCAATTAGTAAGATTCAATAGTAGGATTATGGATTATAAATCGATTTGCCTTCATTTTGATATTAGTATTTAATTAATAATAAATTAATGAATAATAAATAGAGGTATTAAAATTGGAAAAAAGCAAGATCAGACAAAAGAGATTAAAAACAATAATAAGGTTAATAATAATAATAAATAACAATACATTAATTGCAATAATTAAATAATTAATAAAGTAATAGTTAAGATGAAAGTGAAGATGAAGATTAATAATAAATAAATAAAAAAGAGGAAAGATTAAATGATATTAAATTATTTATGATTGATTATGGATAATGTGATGTTAAGAAATGTACAGGTAGAAAAATGGAAAGATTTAAATTATTAACAGCAATAAAACCAAAAGTCAAATTTTAAGGAATAATAGTAAGTGCAAATGGAAAGAAATATGTATCTAAAGAAGATGAAGAATTATTATAAAAAGGAATATGTGTAATTGATTGTTCATGGGCAAAGATAGAAGAAATTACTTATGTATCTCCTAATGAAAGATTATTACCACATATGGTTGCTGTAAATCCTGTTAATTTTGGCAAACAATTTAAATTATCATGTGTTGAAGCTATTGCAGCTACATTAGCTTTATGTGGACGTAGAGAATAAGCAGATTTCATTCTTAGTAAATTTACATGGGGTGAGAATTTCTTTAAGATAAATAAAGATGCTTTTGATCTTTATTAAGAATGTCAGAATGATAAAGAATTAAGAGTAGCAGAATAAAAGTATTTAGAAATGGCATAAAAGAAAGAGAATACAGGATAAAGAAATTATGATATGCCAAGTAGTTCTGATGATGAAGAAGAGAATCAAATTTAATGATCTCATATCTATAATTTATTAATTGCTACTTTAAATTCTGCTTGTAAATTGAATATAAGTCTCTAATCAGTTACTTATAAAAAAAAATTATTATTTTAAATTTTATTATAATTTCGCAATTCTTCTACTGAAATTTATTAAATACATAAGAGATTTATTATAACAAAAGTAGTTTCATTTATTACTATGTTTTAATAAAAGTTATATGATGTTTAAAGAAAATGATTGTAAATCTAATTGATTTCTAATTCATAATACTCTTAATGTTTAATTAAATAGGTAAAGATATTTAATATTGTTTATGGAAATTTAGGTGAGGTATATAAAAAAGAGTCTATATTTGTGAATATAAGATTAACAATGAGAGAATTCCATCCTTAAAATATTTCAGTAATTTGATGTAATCATATCCATATATACAATCACTTTACTTATATATCAAATAGTAATAAAACGCAAAGTATTTTAGGAATTTAACAATCGAATAAGGATGTTCAAATTTTTGACATTTAAAACATAAAGTGAACTAAGTAATTCACTTATCATAAATGGATACTTAATTACAGATTGATAATAAATTTCTTATTCATTATATTCAACAAAAGATAGCATTTTTGTCACTAATATCATCATTATTAAGTATATTAATTTGATTGTAGTTTATATCTGTAATCTTATAAATCTTTCAATTAGACAATATTTACTATATTAAATATTATGATATTATCAACAAGAAATCGGGAATATTTTATTATTATAAAAGTCATTAAAGATTGTTAACATTATATTTATATTATTTATCTCAAGCGAGTTTTACATCTTCAATATGGACTGGAGTCATTGGGACATATTTATATGATGGATCAGCATATTTAGTTTTTTTAACATGTTCTGATTAGGTTGATCTCTCTTTGATTATTTTGGCATGTTATTTATGATACTAAGATTTGAATATAAATGCATTATTACTCTCTTCATCATTTCAGCTGTATAAATAGAACTAATTTCTGTATAATGTGCTGATAATCTTTGATTCAATGTATTTAATGGAAAATGTAATGAATTAGTTGCTTTCTTCATCACGTAATCTAAATTATCAGGACTATTTATCCAAATAAAATTGCATACTAATATGATCTGTTTTCAGAAGAATAATAGACTAATCTAAATAGACCTGCCAATACAGCTATTGGTCCCAAGAATACTGCTGCTCTCATTGGTCTTAACATATGATATCCTTAATGTGTGAGTCCTCTATATTAAATATATTAGTGTTACTTACTTTAAGACTGAGTATTTATGACCCATGAAGGCTGTTGCAAAGAGCACTCTTCTATTGAAATATATGAACATTTAGTTTGTTGGATGATATCCAAATTCTCTTGGGCCAATAAGAAAGAATCTTCCAATCTTACCCAATAATCCTGATCGTTTGGCTAATTTCTCATTGATTACCTCAGAAACTGGGTTCAATATTTTTAACCATGCTTATTAAATAGGATTCATGTTAATTTAATTAATATTATTAGATTTCTTTTCACATATAGATATTAGGGAATTGTGTGAATAATAATTACATACATTTTTAACTCAAATCAACACTCATACTTTATACCACAGTATATAAATTATATTAATTAAATAAAATGAATGAAAATAAAGAAATGATTCAACATGACTATTAAACACAACTCAAGGATTTCTATGAATAAACATAAGAGATTGTTAGTTCAATCTAATAAGGAATCAGAATTAAGAAAGTAAAAAATATCATCTAATATTCAAAGGATATACCAATTCAAATCAATAATTTAATGGGATAATTGAAACCAATATTAGAATCTATATCTTAGAATGGTGAAATTCAAAAATATAATTGGCTACATTTGAGATCACTTATTGTTATAACAACTAGAGATATGTTATTAAATATGCAGAAACTTTATCCATATGAAAAGACTGCTTAAAATGAAGGTTTTGAAGATGAATTAGATATCGTACTTCAATTTCTTTGTGTTTTTGAATAAAAGTATATTATTTTCCCTCTATTTATATCAGACCACCATTTACTTTGCAAAGAATATGTGAATTACTAATTGATCCCTAAAAACATTATAAATCATCAAAAAAAATATTATTTGCCATGGAAAAATTAGTAAATGTAAGTACATGATATAAAATTATAATATTTTATTTAATGAAGCACAAACCAAGTTATTGGAAATCTACACACTTTGCTGCCTCTGTCTAATATCTTAATTTCATTATAGAGTGTATCATCTTTCCATTGGCTTTGATTCTATACATAAATCATTACAAAATGGATAGAAATCTATATGATAATTGGGAATATAAACCAATTATTGAAATTCAAAAAGTAAAAGGTTCATAATGTCCATCTGATATGGAAACATTCTTTGATTATAGTTATCCATAAACTTCTAGTGGTATTTATTTCAAATTTACTTATAAGGATGTGATTGTGGTTTTGGAGAAGAAGATGAAAATGGTGAAATTGATTATGATAAATTGAAAAATGAACATTGTTAAACTTCTGATATTGATGAAGGTTGTGATGAAATAGCTCCTATAGAATCTTAAAATTTTATTATTTGGAAAGGTTATTCAATTTGTGGTAAAAGATCTGAATACACATACAGAGAATTATTTTATGAAAGAAATTGTACTGCGATTTGTAATGGAGTTTGTTAAACTAAAAATGATTAAAAAGTTTGTGGAAATTATTAAGATCTACTCTCCAAAGAAAATTTTACTCAATCATATTTTAATTTTACTTTAAGCTATGGTATTGATGTTTGCTATGAAAATGGAGAATCAATCAATTAATATCCATTATTAGAATCAGCTTATAAATGTGCTATTTAATCATCAGAATATGCATATATAGATGAATTTGATTAATATATGTTATTTGAAGAAAATGAATATCCTTATGAAAGTTTACCAGGATTAGAGTATTTCAAAGAAACACCTAAATTTGGTCTATTTGGAGAAAAATTTACAGAATATAATTGTACTATTAAATAGATTGATGTTTCAAATTATAGAGACAATTATATTTAACTTGTATTTTTAGTTGCACTTATTATGGCAGGTAATTATTAATCAAAATTAATTAGGTTGTTTGATGGGTTTTGGAGCCATATTTCATTCTGCAATCATTTAAAATTTAACTAGAAAAGGAATATTTAAGCATAAAATATATAAAGTTACTTGGAAATTTTATTGTCCTACAACATTCCTCATTCTACTTCACATGGCACATTTAGCTATAGTAGGTACAAAATTGGGATTTTTAGCTCATTTTAGAACTACAATGCATACATATATAGAAAATGTATTAGTTTTTATAAATGATATTTCAGAAATGTACTGATTGGTCAAATATATTGAATCTTGTTTATATGAGAGATTTCATTGATGCAGAATTAATGCCTCTTTGTATACCTGAATTAATGTTGACTTTTGTTGCTATGTTATTAGAGATTTTACAGTTATGCTTATTTGATAGGAGAATACCTGAAATTATAGCATCACCTACTTTGAAAGGTAGAGAAAGTCCTTCTAAATCAAATAATTTCATTTTGAATTTTGGATTTGATAAAGAAGAAAACATGGAAAAGCATGTTTTAGATACTGAAAATATTAGAATTAATAAAAAGAATGTATATATATATTCATATAAATTAGGAATAATTAAAATTATATAATGAATGATTATAAAAGGATCTCTTATATAGTCAATTTAAATAATTTATTTATTTCTCTCTTAAAAACTAATAATCATACATGTATCAATATTTTTGTAGATTAAGCTATTCTTATATTTTATGAAATTTAAATACGATAATTTTTTTTAATATTTATAAAAGTAATGTAAATTTGATTCTATTTATTTAAGTAAATATAGAAACTAAACTCTAAAATTTCTAACTTTATTATTTATTAATAGTGAAAAGAATTAATAGATATATATACTATATTAATATGATAATTCAGAATTTTTCATGTGCATTTACTAAATCTGCATTTTAATATAAATATCCATTAGATGCCCATTTCATTTCGATATTAAGTTTCTTATCATCAGGATCATCATTTGGAATTATTTTTTGATTATATGTTCCTTATATTTTATTACCATTCTTAAAGTACCATACTCCAACTTTATTAGGTTTATTATTATCAAATTCTCCTTCATAATATGTACCATTAGGTAGAATCCATCTTCCAGATACAAATTTGTTTTCTTTCCATTAACCTACTAACTATTAAGGATAATAGATGATAAATATTACTCTCATTCCAGTATCATTATAAATATATGTTCCATTACCTTCTTTTTTACCAAATGCCCACCAACCACTATATTAATCTTTGTTTGGATAAGTGAAAATACCTTCTCCATGTCTCTTACCATTTTCCCATTAACCTAATATTATAAATGAGAATGAAACCGAAATAATCTCCTTTTTCTTTGTATGTTAATTTACCAATTCCATGTTTAACATTATTAATAAAATCTCCAAAGTAGAGATCACCATTGGCATAATTATATTTGCCTTTACCATTTCTTTTCTAAAGATTAGATTTAAAACAGTTACTCCATCAACATAATCACCTTCATAGATTTCATTATTAGCATATTTGGCTTATCCTTTACCAGTATAATCTCTAGAAGACTTGGTCTTCTAATCACCTTCAGGGAGGAATTTAATGAATTCAAAATTATTATCATCTGGATTTTCATCGGCCATTTTATATTAAATTAATTTATTAATTAGTTATGAAAACATTATTTCAATATTATGATAATCTATAAGAAGATAAATACAAGTTGAATTGTTTTAAAATAATCTTGGATGATAAGTTCAAAAATGAGATGATAAATTCAAAACATAATTTTATTAATGATATATTATGTAAATATATGATGCTTTCGTTGCATTGGAGTGATATTTGATAAGGCACTAAAGATAAAGATTTTTATGAAGAAATTTAAAGATAATGATGATAAAAGCTTAAGGAGAATCTATTAGGATTGATGAAAATTTATAATGTGAATAAAAGAGCTCCAAATATTAATATAATATTAAATTACATAAAAAGTATTCAGGCTTAAACTATCTGTCTCAGAATGTTTGTGTATAGAGTGAATTATTGGTGTATCATCAATTTTGTTAATTTTATTTAAATTTTTTTCAGACTCCTTTAATATTAGATGAATTGGATTCAGATGTTATAATTTAATAGACTGAAATACTTAAATAATGCTATAATTGATATAATGTTATTACTAATTATGAATTGAAGAATGATTAAACAAAAAATAAAATTAGAATTAGATATTAATATTTTCTTAATGTTTTATTGTAATTATAAAGTAGAATCATTTAGATCTCTATTTTATTAATTAATATTAATTGTATTATTTCAAGGCATATAAGAATTAACCTTAAAATATATAATAATCTATAAAATGATTTTTAAGGATTTGAAATACGTATAATAATGTTTTAGATGTGATGCTCAGATATATAATGATATTTATTAATTTTGTTATGATTTATACTTGAATATTTAAACAAATTTTAAGAATAACTTTAAGAATAATAAATTTCTTGTATAAAAGTAATAATGGATTTTGTGTTGAACCTCATACATTAATCTTAAACAATTCCCTTCAGACAAGGAGTTAAATTTAATAACTACAATTTAGTTTGCATGTAAATAGAGTGAGATATAAATAGAATCTCTGTATGTGCATACATTTTAGCATTGCTAATAAATGGCACAATTGGTGTAAAGACAGCCAAATCTACAAGTGATAGTTATAAATTAGTAGTAACACCTCCTTCTTGGGCATTTTCAATATGGGGAGTCATTTTTAGTAATAATTGATTATTAATTATTAAAGGCACTACATTAGTAGCATTATTATGGAGTATTCATTCAGTGTCTTGGAGTTTAGAAACTCACTTATATTTTTGGCTTTATTGTTTCACAATTTCAGTTTGGATATTACTTTGGTCTATTGTTAGCAAAATAACAATACTTTTATGTAAAATTGTGCTAATTTTATTAACAATTGTATTAATAAACCAATAAAATCAAGAATATCTATCTATTATGGAAGAGTACATTAGTTTTGGAGAATGATGATTGGTCAATATATTTAATGAGAGGAGCAATAGCATTTTAATTGGGATGGGCTTCAAGTGCATAATGTTTGAACTTCTGCATTTGTTTAGTACATGTTTTTGGTGCAACTTAAGATATGATATCTAAATTAATTTGGGTATGTATAGTGATAGCTCATTCTATCTATTTGGGATTAGCTTATTGTCATTCAAAATAATGTAGATTTAATATAAATTTATAACTTTAGACAACAAAAATATGCTATTAAATTTTGGAGCCTACTTATTGAGTATGTCATGGGCAATAATGGGAGTAGCAATTTCGTACAATAAATATAGTTCTGGGAAGGCAATTAACAAATTAAAATGAGTTGGTCAATTAAAATGAATGATGACATCATCATTTGTATTATAAAAATCGATGATTATGACATTGAAAATAATATAATTAAAAAATGGAAAAGACACTCCTTGCCATTGGTTTATTGATGTTAGTTGGAACACTTTACAATGTTCAAAGCGTTCCTGAAGTTTAATTGGCCACATAATTCACAAATTATTAAGCCACATTCAACAAATAATACTCAGGATCTGAACTTCTCTATAGATTATCAGTTTATTAAGCTAATCTTGCTGATATTAAAGCCAGAAATGAAAAACTTGGAAGAGAAATCTTTGGTGAAACCTAATTCACAGATCTTACCGATGAAGAATTCGCTGCCAACTATTTGACCCTCAAAATCAACTCAGATGATTTGGAAGTACCAAAGGCTGAATTCAATAATGTTAATGCTACACCAATCGATTGGAGAACAAGAGGTGCAGTCCAATATGTCAAAGACTAAGGATAATGTGGTTCATGCTGGGCTTTCAGTACAACTGGTGTCTTGGAAGGATTCTACAAGGTTACCACTGGTGAATTACCAGATCTTTCAGAATAATAATTAGTTGATTGCTCAACTTTAATTGATTTCAACTAAGGATGTAATGGAGGTATGCCATCAAGAGCCTTGAACTATGTCAAGAGAAATGGTCTTACAACTGAAGATGCTTATCCATATGTATTATTTTATATTAATTCTTTAATAGACCGCTAAGGAAACTGGAAGCTGCAGAATTAAGGGAGGTCCCTATAAAGTCAATGGATCAACTGCCATCGCCGCTAACGAAGCTGCTCACTAAGCTGCTCTCTAATAAGGACCAGTTTCAGTTGCTGTCAAGGCCTCAGATTGGAAGAACTATAAACCCTCATCTGATGATTACATCTTCCCAGATTCATAATGCACAGGAGATATCAACCACGCTGTTTTGGCTGTTGGTTTCACTTCTGAAGCTCTCATTGTTAAGAATTCATGGTCTACCAAATGGGGAGTAGATGGATACATCTATCTTGAAGGAGGACGTAACACTTGCAGTGTTTGGAATAACTCAGTTGTTCCAAAATGATATTAATCATTATCACAAATATTAATTCCATCATTAATCAAATTTCTGCTAGATCTCCTTTCTTAGAACTAAACACTGCTATTTATAACATTATCCAAATATCCACACTTAATTGGATTACTCCACACATCACAAATTAAGCTGGTTAATTTTTTACAATGAAATAGAATGTCTTAAATGCATCACCTAAAAACCATGATCCTATCATAGCATATGATAATCCCTTTACACTCTTTGTTGTATGATTTTTAATGGCTTAAGGTAAACCCAAAGTTGCCTATTTAATATTAAAAATATATCTACCTCTATTGCACAACTTAAGAATCCAATAATTTCCCAATATTAAGGATTTGCAAGATTGAAATAACTAGAAATTAAGATAATTATAAAAAATGTGATTAAACATGCTATATATGAGTTTAATTAGCTCCATCTCCAAAACTTATTCAATGGATTATTAAAAAATGAGACTGGTTTAATCTTATATACTGAATTGCTTATAATTGTTAAACATAATCTCAATAATTCTACCTTAAAATTATAATATTATTTATTACTTACATCATTATCATCAGAATAGATTGATACAATAATGCATTTTCAAAACGTTTATTGTACCAGAATACTATTCTTAACAAATTGGCAAATAATAATATTGCACACACATCTATTGAGAATGAACCTACACTCTTTTATTATTTTATCAATGAATATTGAGCCACGTATCCAATTAGAGGACCCAATACAAATCCTATTTATTTATCAAAAGAGGATCAGTTACCAACATTCAAAGCTAAATCAGCGAATTAAGAAGCATATTGAATTATATCATCAAATTATCCTATGTCCATTATAATATATTAAATATTAACTGACAATATAATTATATCTACTCAATGTCTGAACATTATTTAAGAACCAAGATGATCAATTATCAAGATACTACACCCAAGAGAATGTTTGTTAATCAAAATCAATCATATACTTAACCATATTTAAATCAAAGTCCAATATATCATACTCCAGATAAAGCTATGAAATAACCTTATCGAAATTAGAATTAAAGTGTAATTCTTAATCATCTAATTTAGTATAATGACATGTCTGAATTTATTCGCAGATAATAATAAT